GGAGACCAGCGTGTCCTCTGGCACATGCTTGTCTTCAACTGCTTGCTTCTCTTAGTTGTTAGACCCTCGTGTAGGATTATTTCTGTCTCTTTTCTTCCCCTGTCCTGTTTTTTTTTTCCTATCATTTACTACTCCCAATGGGGCTTGATTTGATTAGTGTTTTGTCGTTGTTTTCTCTTCTGGAGACAGGATCTTGCTATGTAGCCTTGGCTTGCCTAGAACTGGATATACAGAATCAGCTGGCTTCCAAATCAGAGATGGTCCTTTCTCAGCCTCACAAGTGCTGCTGGGATTAAAGTCATTTGCCACCTTGCTAGGATGAGTATTTATTTTAACCTGCTACTTAAATGGAACCAATTCTTCCTCTAACAAAAATAAGCCTTCAACTGCTCCCCAACCCCTACCCTGCCTCAGCCCTGTATGTTTCTTGGCCTGCTGCTTCTACTTGTCCTCAGCAGTTACCCTCTACCTATGAGTTCCATGTACTGCTTGAGTGGAGAAATCCTTCCGGAGGATTCTCCTCTCATCAGATCCAACCCACGTCAGGTTCATACCTATAGCTGTCCTACCTCTTTCTTTTGTGTGTTTCTTGTACTTAAAAAAAAAAATCTCAGGGCTGGAGAAATGGCTCAGAAGTTAAGAGCAGTGATTGTTCTTCCAGAGGACCCGAGTTCAATTCCCAGCAACCACACTGTAACTCACAACCATCTAGGATGAGATCTGGTGACCTCTTCTGGCCTGCAGGCATACATGCAGGCAGAACACTGTATACATAATAACTTAAAAAAAAACAAATACACATGTACAATAAACAAATAAATAAAATACATTTTAAAAGTTCTTATACCATTAATTTTCTAGTCACATTTCCTTACAAGAATAAACCTACTCCCTTATGTCCCCCCCAGATGTACATGCAATCTTTTTTGTTTGGTTGGTTTTTGTTTGTTTGTTTTTCCGAGATGGTTTCTCTGTAGCTTTTTACTTTTTTTATTTTTTTGGTTTTTTGAGACAGGGTTTCTCTGTTGCTTTGAAGCCTGTCCTGGAACTAGCTCTTATAGACCAGGCCGGCCTCGAACTCACAGAGATCCACCTGTTTCTGCCTCCTGAGTTCTGGGATTAAAGGTGTGCGCCACCACCGCCCAGCTGTACACATAATCTTAACACTGATCAGATAATGTGTGAAGTAAACTCACCCTCAGCAGCAATGGCAATAATGACTACCAGAGACTGAACATCTACTATGCGTTAGGCACTGGTTGAAGCACACTCTTTTTTAATAAACACTAATTTCTTTAGTCCTTGTGATAATCCTGCACAATGAGAACTATTATCATAACTCCCCACCCTCATTTTGCAAAAGTAGAAACAAGTCCAGAGAGGCTAAGGAATTTGCCCAAGGTCATCCAGTCAGTGACTGCACCTCTGTGATCCGGTCCCTCACAGCCCTTTAGTTTCTGTCACCTCCCCTGCCTTCCATAGGACAACTTCCACAAAGAACTTTGACCTAGTCTTCTCAACATTGAGAAACTGGGTTCTCCCTTTTAAAAGCAAAATATAAAGATGTATAAATATGGACCACAATCCACCCTAAATCTTGAACACAATTAATTTTTCATACTGTGCTGGCTACATTATTCTTTGGGGGAAGGGTATTGAAGTTATCCTGCAATTCTTTAAAGATGACCTCTAGAGTAAGAATAGCTGGATGGAGGTCACCAGGCTTTTTCATGTAGACAGACATTCAAAGCCTTGTTCCAAGTTAATTTTTACTACCCAATAAAGTACTATCTGGGCACGTACTAAAGAATGACTTTCCGAAGCTTAGTGAAATAAGTCATTCACACTCCAACACGGATATCTTCGTGCTGGTTATTCCTGTAGGGAAACTATATTCAGATCAAACTCATTTCTTAAATGACATAAAAGGAGCGAGAGGCTTTGGGGTGTCTTATGTAACCAGCTGAGTGCTGATGGCAGCTGACAGGGAAAGAGAAGCTGAATCTTAGAAATGGCAGAAATTATACTTTAAAAATTACAATAAATATCACCTGCCAGGCATTAAAATGATTAATGTTTTTCTACACTCCTATTGTGAGAGGTTTCATAAGCAAATAATTTTAAGTGTGTTAACCTGTTAAACACTAGTAATTAGCTGAGAAAAACAAACACAAATGTTCTTGAAGATGGAGCGAACCCTGAGGGAATTCAGTCCTCTGAGATAATACTAAGTGTTACTGAAGTAATTCTTGAAGACTGCTACCCCAGATGAAAACCCCTTTACCTTTTCCTCTCTTTCCCGCCACCGAATAACAGTGTCTGGGAAAACAAAACCAAAAACCAACCAACCAAACAAACTCCCCAGGGGATTTGGTTCAGTAGGTAAGAGAACTGAGATAAACGAGAACCTGCATTTGAATCCCAGCACCCATATAAATACATGGGTTCACTCCGTGCACCCACGTGTAGCCCTAGTGCTATGGGAGACAGGCACAGCAGTTAGAGCACTTGGGTCTACTGGCCACCGGCGTGTGAGACCCTGCCTCAAAGGGAAGGGCACGGCGGTAAAGCAGGATACCTGCTATCTGCCTCAGGCCTTTGTGTGTGAGCACGCTAGAGCACAGCATACCTGCCTATAAACCACCCACACAAAATAGGGTCTCTCTGTAGCCTAGACTGTCCTGGAAATCAGTATGTAGCTCACAGTGGTCTTGAACTCACCACAATTCTCCTACCTCAGCTTCCTGAGTGGTGAGATTACAGGTGTGAGCTATCATGCCCACTTCTATCATGCAACTTCTATGGCAACTGTCAGGACTCAGTTGCTAATATACGCGGGCCTGGCGATGGATGAAAACCCTCTGGAATGTTTTAGGTTTTCATGAGAACCATTAAATCTTTCTAATAGCTGTGAATGGAGGACACTGGACTGGCAGACAGTGAGTCTGTTTGCTAAGTAGTTAATGGGGTATGGTTTGGTCACCTCATGTCTCTGGACTTTAGTTTCGCATTCTGTTGAATACATAAATAAGATGAAATGGTCTCCAAAGCCCACCCTAAAAATTCTGAGCTCCACAATTTTAAGATATTTTTGAACACTGGTGTACAAACAAGACTTAATTCCACGAAATAAACTAAAAATATGTGTAAACCAGTGACATGGGAATAGGTACTTTAAAAAATATTTCCCAAAAGATCCATTATTGTTAAGCTAGTTTCTCTCTCACATTTCATCATTTCAGCTAGGAAGCACAGCAGAGCAAATGCCATCTCATGGAGGAAGAGGTGGCCAGTGCTGTCAGTACTGCAAAGGTTCAGGCAGAAAGGATGTAAGTTCAAGGCCAGCCTGAACTACAACATAGATCATATCTTAAAAAAAAAAAATCTAGTACATAAGGACTGTTTCCCAAAGAAAAGAAATTCATTCTTTGTCGCTCAGGAAGATGAGGGAAAGAAGGCAGGGGGCCAGCTAAGAGCTAATTCACCTTCTGTGCCCTCTCATGATGGAAAGAGAAGTTGGAAGTAAGCAGCTGACATATGCACATACATATGGATATTCAAGAAGCCGAAGATAACGGGTTGCTTTTCTGGGCATGCCTGCAAAAGGCCAAGGCCTCTTCGAGTGCGCTATCAGCCTCAAAGTGTGTTCAACATGATGCAGGGAGAACAATGCAATGTTGGAAGAGGTGGCCCCAGAAGCACAAAGCAAGTCTCCTGCCTCATCAAGGCATGGGGTATTTGAGAAGCCCAGAAATGATGATGTATTTATTTCAGCAAGAAGACAAAGTACTACTCTGAGGATGACCGAATCCATAGAGCCTTGAGTTCAATACAGACACTGTAGTGTGGGGGAGGGAGGAAAGTGGCAAACACCTCCAAATGAATTGCAATGAAAGGAAATTGCATAATATCTCAAAAATGATAGAAACTACCAGTTTTACCTTTGGGGTTAGAACTCCTGAAGCACAGTAGGGGCCACACTAGAGAACAATAATACATGGTGTGGCACTTGGGGCATAGACATCCGTCCTTTCCTCCTGCCGTGTAAACCTCCCTATTTCTCAGTCACTGTTCATTAGAAAACAGAGTTTCTGGGCAAGCAGTATATGGCACATGCCCTTAGCATTTGGGAGACAGTAGTAGGTAGATCTTTTTGAGTTCAAGACCAGCCTGGTTTTACAAAGTAAGGTCCAGGTCATCCAAGAGCCTGCCTGGAAGGAAGGAGGGGTGTTTCTTTTCTTTTTTGTTTTATGAGACAAGGTTTCTCAGTAGCTATGGAGCCAGTACTGAAACTTGCTCTGTAAACTCACAGAGATCTGCCTGCCTCTGCCTCCCAAGTGCTGGGATTTAAGGGCATGCACTACCACCACCTGGCTACAAATTTTTAAAGTAATCAGGATATGGACACAATTATGCTATTTTCCCATACTTTTAAAACTTTTCCCTCAATGTTTATTTAAACCTAAAACCAATGTTTATTTTCACCTAGTTAACAACCATAACATTTTTAATATTTATTTACATATTTGTTTAGAGATGAGCCTTGTTATGCATATACAGTACAGGATGGCCTAGAAATTGCCATCCTTTTGTGTCGACCTTCAGAATTCTGAGATTATAGGCATGATCTACTTGTGCACAACTCAAGCTTTTTTTTAATTAAAAAAAAAAGTTTAAGTGTATGGGTGTTTTGTTTGTGTATCTGTGCACCACATACATCCCTGGTGCTTTCAGAGATCAGAAGATGCTGACAGATGCCCAGGAACTGGAGTTACAGACAGTTGTGATCTGCCATGTGGGTGCTGTGTTGAACGTGGGTCCTCTGGAAGGGCAGTCAGTGCTCTTAAGAAATGAGCCGTCTTTCTTCAAGATGTTTTTCAAATAACTGTCTTCACATACAGGTTTTGAAAAGATTGTTCACAAGTCTTCATTTTCCTGACTTAAAAATAGAACATCTCAAAAATCACCATACTCCCCCCAAAGAAAGAAAAACAATTGTATATTATGTGATAAAGTTTTATTTAAACGGCAGGAGAGATGTCTGCTATCCAGAAAGGTGATTTGCCTAGAGTCACCTAAGAACTCTGGGGCTCACACAGCACAACACTGGCTTACTGCCCTCCTGGTGCTTCTCTCAGAATGCACGTTTCTCCCTCTCGGTCTTGCTTTTATCAAGCTTTGTAATGTCTTATCTATCTTAAGCCTAGAGAGCAACCAATGAAATTCAAGCAGGAAATTACTGAGAGCTCTGAAAAGAAGAGAATCCAGAAGTGAACCACTAGCTAGCTGAGCTATCACGAATGAATAGCGAGGAGTGCGTTTTCAGCCATCACAGTGGCAGCCCGGGAATAGAAACGCGATTTCCTTGGGGAGAGATTATGCTAAGGGGACCAGATACAGATACAAAAGTAATTCCTCTTGGGAGTTTCTCTTTTTGAGTGTGTGGGCCCTAAAAATTAAAACAATGAAATAGTCACGATCACAACCTCCACATATTTATTTCTTCCGTAACATTATGTAGACCACTTTTCCAAAAATCAAAGCAAACTAGCTGGCCAAGATCTAAAACATTCTGGTCTGGGTTAACAGACACTGGAACTGACTCCAAACTTTAAGCTCGGTGAAAGCACATCTCTAAGGTTTGCAAATACCCCCAGCTGGTTTCATGGGCACAGAACCTGGAGCGCTCCCTACAGCTCAGAGTTAGAACCTACCGAGCACAGAAATCCCGAGTTACCAAAGACTGACTCCCTCACTCCACTTTCCGTTTAAGAAAACCAGGTGAAGGCTGGGGTGGAGGGAGGCTGAAACGGCAAAATGCAAGATTAATCACTTCTCCCAATTACATCAGCAGCCCCCGCCCTTTCTTCCGAGCACCTCCTCTCCCAGAATCTTCGCTATGTACTGGCGCTTCTTCGCCTACCCCCAGCTCCATTATATGCCCTAATACCTCCCCATTATCACCCGCCCTGCCACACTCCCCCTTTCCTCTTTCCTCCTCCGCGGGGGAAGGAGGAAACCCGAGAGAGGAAACAGGGCGTTGGAGGAAGGGACTTCGCGATAAGAGAGGAGGCTCCATTGGCCCGGAGGCTGCATGGGCGCTCCCCATTGGTCCGGCCCGGCCGGAATCCCCGCCCATGGCCCCGCCCTCGCCCCTCCCCCGCCGCCCCGCGGCCCTCCCCCGCGCCCCCA